AAATGGAAATTTACTCAGCATTAAAAGAGAATAAAATCATGGCATTTGCAGGTAAATGGATGGAGTTAGAGAAGATAATGAATGCTAAGTGAAGTTAGCCAATCCAAAAAAAACAAAAGCCAAATGTTTTCTCTGATATAAGGTGACTGACTCATAGTGGGGTAGGGAGGGGAAGCATGGGAGGAATAGATGAACTCTAGATAGGGCAGAAGGGTTGGGGGGGAAGGAAGGGGGCAGGGGATTAGCAAGGATGGTGGAATGTGATGGACATCATTATCCAAAGTACATGTATGAAGACATGAACACGTGTCAACATACTTTATATACAACCAGAGATATGAAAAATTGTTCTGTATACATGTAATAAGAATAGTTATGCATTCCACTGTCATATATAAATTTAAAAAATAATTTTAAAAATGAATAAAAATATTTGAAAAACATATTTTCTCTTTCATTTATCCTTTTACTGACAATGAAAATTAGCATCAGAAGACATGCCAACACTATATACAATAAAATGATCTTTTATTCTTACACCTTAAAGATGAGTTAATGGACAGACAATTTTTAAAATAACTTAAGAAAAATGAAATGAGCAAAATCAAAATTGCAAAATTATACTTCTGTGGGTTGAACTGTACCCCTAAAGAGATATGTTGAAGTCCTAATACTCAATACCTGTGAATTTGACCTTATCTGGAAATAGGGACTTTATAGATGTAATTAAATTAAGAGGAAGTCATACTGGATTAGAGCAGCTCTAAATCTAGTGACTGTTGTCTTTATAAGAAGGCCATGTGAAGACACAGGGACACAGATAGAACTATACACGTTGACAATGGCAGACATTGGATATCTGTCTGCAAATCAAGGTTTGCTAGCAAGCACCAGAAAATTCGTACAGGGGCATGGAACAGATTCTTCCTTAGAGCCTCCAGAAGAAACCAACCCTGCCAATACTTTATATTGGATTTCTAGCCTCCAGAATTATAGGACAATAAATTTTCATTGTTTTAAACCACCTAATTGTGGTTTAAAACATGTTTAAAAGTTATCATAGTTTTGGTCTGAAAATCAATAAATGGAAAATCATTTAAGAAATAAATCTTCCCAAATGGGCATGGTGGCACATGCCTATAATCCTAGCAACTCGGGAGGCTGAGGCAGGAGAATTGCAAGTTTGAGGCCAGCCTCAGCAACTTAGAGAGACCCTGTCTCAAAATAGAAATTTTAAAAAGGGCTGGGATGTAGCTAATTGGTAAAATATCCCTGGGTTCACTCCCCAGTATCCACTCCCCCAAAAAAGAAATGAATCCTCCCAACATACAAAGTCAAAGTCAACAGAATGGAGCACCAACTACAAAATCTTTGGTTTTGAGCATGTTATAGAAAGAGATGTGATTTCCTGATAAACAATTAAAATAATACTAATTGAACAAAGTAAGAAATTGTCTAAGTTGAGCAAAGTGTATTGAGATAGTCAAGAGTACCAAGAGTTAGGCTGGGGGTGTGGCTCAGTTGTAGAGTGCTTGCCTAGTATGTGTGAGGCACTGGGTTCAATTCTTAGCATCACATAAAAATAAATAAATTAAATACAGGTGCAGTATCCAACGATAACAAAAAAAAATATTTTTAAAAAGGACCAAGATTTACTGATGAAAGTTCCTTACACAACTGAGTAGTAGTCTCACCCCCGTTGTTTACTTTCCCCATCCTTAGTCTTTGTTCTCAAACTCTGCAATCTTAATACTGCAAAACTCTTTTTGGTTCAAATGTCAATAATGTGTGTGTACCTTCCTGGCTGTCAATCATCTACAATTTCAGCAACAAATATCACTGCAATTACACCTCATTCCATGAGGGGACCCTCATGTGTTTACTTGCCAGACCTTTAGTGCACCAAAAAATGGAGCACTAAAGGTCTGGCAAGTAAAGAAGCCAAGTAACAATGACAATATTTATAGGCTTGTCATTAGTCAATTCATAGAATCCTATCTCAGTTTCAGGAGACCATCATGATCCCCCCATATCTTTGAATATTTGATTGCTTCTACTCTGAATAATTCCTGTGGGGCAACTGCCCAAAACTTCTTAGTGCTCCAACCATTTTTTTTATGTTTGGGAATAACTGCATCAGAATTCAACATTGTGATTATTTCCAATGATGAGGAAAAGACTTCTGTTAATATTTTAGATAACTGCTCTTGTTTTGTTAGCTGAAGTAATTTAAACCAAATCTCAACTTCATTTCTTCAGGATAGGATATGTTGGGTTTTTTTTTTCCTTTTTGTTTTGGGGGGGGGGATTACTGAACCCAGAGGCACTTAGCCACTGAACCACATCCCCATCCCAATTTTGTATTTTATTTAGAGACAGGGTCTCACTGAGTTGCTTAGCACCTTGCTTTTGCTGAGGCTGGCTTTGAACTCGAGATCCTCCTGCCCCAGCCTCCTGAGTCACTGGGACTATAGGCATGAGCCACTGCACCTGACACATTTCTATTTCTTAAAATGCACAATTACTTAAAGTGCTTACTTTAGATTTAATTTGTGTGTGTGTGTGTGTGTGTGTGTGTGTGTGTGTGTGAGAGAGAGAGAGAGAGAGAGAGAGAGAGAGAGAGAGAGAGAGAGAGAGATACAGGGATTTAACTCAGGGATGCTCTACCACTGACCTTCAGCCCAGCCCCTTTTTTTAAAATTTTGAGACAGGGTCTTGCTAAGTTGTTGAGGCTGGTCTATATCCTGCAATCCTCCTGCCTCAGTCTCTCAAGTTGTTGGGATTACAGGCGGCTACAGGCACTACTGTGCTTGGCATAGATTTAAATTTTTAACAAATGATTTTTTCCTACTTAAAAAACTCATAAGACTTCCAGCTAGAAAATTGAGGCTTAAACAGATATTTATAGCCTGTAGGGAACAACTGGAAGCACATGATTCTTTCAGAAAAGCCCTAATATATTAAGCTTGTATTTAATCAAATCAGTAGTCATGCTGATGAATGAAAGGTAATTCATAAAAATGTAAAAGACTACAATTTATCAACATTGTCTTTTTTCTGGATTTAATTAGAATGCAAAATTGATCAAGGCTAATCAGGTTGAGTACAAATTGAGTGAAGCCCCAATTATATATTATTTTCTTTCCATTCAATTAGCTTTTATTCATCTTGTTCTTCCCTACTAATTCCAACAAATTAAACACCCAAGGATTCATGTGCAAAATAGTCAATCTTTACATCAGTATGGTACAACTGGCTTAGTTTCAAAAATTGCTTGTGATAGGTAACTTTTCCTTAGTAGATGGAAACTAACAAGTACTGAAAATATTTTAAAAACTAGTAATTTTTAAAAATAATTTTATCTTGTTGGTTAATTGAACAATTACATTTCATTAGACCTTATAGTTTTAGATGTTTATGTCATTTCCTTTTTAATTCCTAAAAATAAACAGAGCTCTCAATTTTTTTTTTTTTTTTTTTTTTTGCATTCCAGGGATTGAACTCAGGGGCACTCCACCACTGAGCCATGTCCCCAGCCCAATTTTGTATTTTATTAGATACAGGGTCTCACTGAGTTGCTTAGCACCCCACTTTTGCTGAGGCTGGCTTTGAACTCACAATCCTGCTGCCTCAGCCTCCCAAACTGCTGGGATTACAGGTGTGTGCCATTGCACACGGCAGAGCTCTCAATTTTTAACAAAAGTCATGGTACAGCATTTTCTAGATATTGCAGCTTATAGATGTATGACTGTATCTTCAACATAGTTTTAGTTGGAAAATATTTTTGAAAATATCACTACATTGAACTGTGAAGGCCATGAACAGAATTATATATACAAATTCTATAGATACACAGAATTTTAGGATTTTATTTTAGGGACATAGTCTAAATTATACCATTCTGTTATTGCTCTTAGTTTGGTGCATGCGTGTATGTGTGTGTGTGTGTGTGTGTGTGTGTGTGTGTGTGTGTGTATGTGTGTAATGATAAGAAGGTCTTGGTTCTTAGTTGAAATCTACATGAATAAAAGGAAAACCAGGGCTGGGTTTGTGGCGCAGTGGTAGAGCACTTGCCTAGTCCATGTGAGGCACTGGGTTTGATCCTCAGTACCACATAAAATAAAATAAAGGTGTTGTGTTCACCTATAACTAAAAAATAAATATTTTTTTTAAAAAGGAGAACCACTATCAGAAGGTGACAGAGGGGAGTTTATGCTGATTTTAGCTGATTAATTACAGGAAGAAGATCCAGCACTGCTGTTGCTTTCATCAGGAATATCCAGAGACAGACTAAGAGAAGAAAATGCCACTCATAACCAAATTCAAGATGTCACTCTGTGCACTCTGCTTTCTCTACACAGGAATGCCAAATATGTGACATAAACAACTGGGACTAGACCAAGGGCTGTTTCACAAGAATAGTATCACAAAACCAACAGTATCCCCCCCCCAAAAAAAACCCTCCTACATCAATAGTTCCAATAAATAAAAATTCATTCCTTTATTTCCCATTGTAATTATTAAAACATGCTTTCTTAGGCATACTTTTCAAAAATACTTTCAATCAACAAAGCAGACAAAAATCCAAGGTTGACAAGATAGGCAGAAAATGACTTTTTTCTAAGCATACTTTATTTTAAAATAATTATTATTCCTGTTTCAGTGCTGGGGATTGAACCCAGGACCTCAGGCATGCTAAGCATAAGCTATGCAACTGAAATATACTGCCAGCTCTAAGCATGCATTTTTATGTATTTCTCTAATACCTTATCATCTAATACTAAAACCTCCATTCTAAAAATGAATCCACTACATATGAATATCACACACGTTAGAAAAAAGAATTGAGGTTGATAGCATACATTTGGGATACTAGTTTTATAATTTCTAGAATGAGCCATACTTCTAAGTATACCTAATGGCCAAAGTAGACTTAAAAGCTAAGTGAAAAATGACCAGTGAATGTTAAAAAACCCATGTTGATACTCACCACACAGTCTTTACTGACAGCTGGGAAGTATCACAGGATGTATGTTGGCAGTGTCTTGGCTGATCATCAAGTGGTATTTTACCTAAGACAAAATGGCATATCAAGATAAATGTTTCTTATTTAACTGGCTTATTATGCTTTTAATTGCAAAGGTAATACTTGTTTATTGCAACAAATTTGTAAAAAAATATATAATTGGTAAAAATATATAATTTATATAAAAATATAAAGAAAAAAATTCTTAAGTCATTCTTATCCAGAGATAATCAATCTTCAACAAACCCTGAATATGTGTGTGTACACGACTTTTTTTTTTTTGAGAGAGAGAGAGAGAAAGAATTTTAATATTTATTTTTTAGTTTTTGGCAGACACAACATCTTTGTTTGTATGTGGTGCTGAGGATCAAACCCGGGCTGTAAGCATGCCAGGCGAGCACGCTACTGCTTGAGCAACATCCCCAGCCCCCATGACTGTTTTTTTCAAACAAACTTGGATTTGTACTATATATAATGGTTTTTACTCTACTTTTTGTTTTTAATTATTATCATTTTGTTTTTTTACTAAATAAATTCTATAACATGATTTTATATAACTAGTATGGCTGTTGAATGAGTTTAATTCCATTCCTTATTTTAAACTTATAAGTTGTTGCTATCTTTATTTGCTAAACATATGTGATAAACTAAATAGTAAAGAGATAATTTTCTTTGGTAAATTCTTTTATAGCACACAATGAACTACACACACACACACACACACACACATATTTATATATATTCAAAGATTAAGGAGAACCATATAATATCAAAAAAGAACACTGCTATAATCTTTTCCTTGAAGTAAATGTTAAAATCTGCATAGTGTTTCATATTCATATGATAACGATGTCTGGCCAAGAGAAAAACTGACATTCAAGCCTATGTCTTCTAGGGTGGACTATTTTTTTTAACACTATGACCAGGTATGGTGGACACACTGGTAATCCCAGTGACTCAGGAGGCTGAAGCAGGAAGTTCACAAGTTGGAGGCCAGCTTCAGCAAATCAAAGAGATCTTGCCTCAAAATAAAAAATAAAATGGTCTAGGGATGTGGCTCAGGGCTTAAGCACCCCTGGGTTCAATCCCTGGTACCAAAAACAAACAAACAAACAAAACACTAGGACCATCATTTTAAAAAATAGTACTAGTTGTGGTGGCACAACCTGTGATCAACTGCGGGGGGTGGCACTCAGGCAGAAGAATCAAAAGTTGGAGGCCAGTCTTTGCTACTTAGTGAGAGCCTATCTCAAATTTAAAAAATAAAAAGGGCTGGGGATTGTAGCTCAGTGGTAAAGGGCCTCTGGATTCAATCCCCAGTACTGAAATCATCATCATTATCATCATCATCATCCTAGAGATAGAGATCCCATAGAAGTTCCTTGGGAGTATAATAATGGTTCATAAATGCCAGAAGAAGTCTGGCATTCTATCCTATGGCCAGATTACACTTACAAGGGAATTAAAAAAAAAAAAAAAACTAACAACAGAAAAACTCATTTGTCCTTTTTTTAAAAATTAAAAACATGACAAAAATTCCTCATAAAAGAAAATTAAGCAGGGCACAGTGGCACAAGCCTGTAATCACAGTGGCTAGGGAGGCTGAGGCAGGAGGATCCCAAGTTCAAAGTCAGCCTTAGCAATTTAGTGATGCCCTGTCTCAAAATTTTAAAAAAAGGCAGGGGATATTGCTTAGTGGTTAAGTGCCCCTGGGTTCAATACCTGGAAAGAAAGAAAAGAAAGAAGAAAAACTCTTTGCTACAACCATCATTACTTTAAAAATTATTTACTCTGCATAATTTTTACAAAGTTCTTACACTTCCTACTTGAACACTTATTTGTTCTTGCTTACTCCTAATGGAAATAACTGTTACTTATCACATACAATATGCCTTCATTTGCTTAGAGGCTCTGATCTTTATTTCACATTCCTTCACTTTATAGAGTCCTCATTCTTTTGAGGGAGGGTACTGAGGAACTGAGGATTGAACCCAGAAGTGCTTTACCACTGAGCCACTTCCCTGTCCTTTTTGTTTTTTGAGACAGAGTCTCTCTAAGTTGCTTGAGGATCTTGCTAAATTGTTAGGCTTGCCTTGAACTTAAGTTGTTAGAGGGCCTGCCTCAGCCTCCTAAATTGCTGGGATTATAGGCCTGTGCCACCATGCCTGCCTGGCAGAGTCCTCATTCTTTTTAGCATCACCACACACACATCCCTACTTGACCCCCACGCCTGCCACCAGGACCTCATTTCTATTTTTATACCATCTTTCCCCCTGTTTCATTTGGGCTAATGGACTCTAAATAGGACATAGGTCGTTGTTTCCTAGTGAATATTCATATTTCAAAATATACAAATAAGATTAGATTTATCTGTTATTGTATTTGGCCAAGAAGGTCCAGATGAATTTTTACTAGAGCTGTGTAGGGTATGCTTGGGAGGGTTTGACATAAAATATAGACTAGGTGGTATACACAGAATTTGTTTTGGAGTTCCCTTAGGTACACCTAAAAGAAAAAAGCAGATGTCCCCCAGAGCAACCGATGTCACAGTAGATAGTAGATGTTACACATCTACTAAGATACTGAGTAGAGACCAAATCCATTATGTTAAAATTGAACAATAAAAACAACTTTTTTGGGTGGTGCTAGGGATCAAACCCAGGGCCTTGCACATGCTAGGCAAGCACTCTACTACTGTGCTATACTGCCTTCCCCAAACCATATTTTTTTTGCAGTACTGAGTGTAGAACCCAGGGCCTCATGCATGCTAGGCATGGGGTGTACCACTGAGCCACATCCCCACATTTCCCAAAACAATTTTTAAATGATAAATTCTAAGAAAACTCCAAGCACTTTCAATGTGATAAAAATGTTTTACGTATAAATATCTTATAAAAGGAAAACCTGTTTTAAGTTGATAAAGCACTATTTTCTTTTTTTAAATATTTTTTTAGTTGTAAATGGACATAATATCTTTATTTATTTATTTATTTAGCTGAGAATCAAACCCAGTGCCTCACACATGCTAGGCAAATGCTCTGCCACTGAGCTATATAGCCCCAGCCCAAGCACTATTTTCAATTTAAGCATACTTAATTTTTCTGCAATGCTAGGGATGGAATCAAGGGCCTCACTCATGGTAGGCAAGTGCCCTATCACAGAGCCATATCACCATCCCTAAGCACACTTCATTTTAAATATTCAAAGAAGCCAACTTCCTATCAGGTCTTAACTGCTGATATATTTGAATGATTTTCAACACCAGCCCAAGCTTCACAGCACAAGCAAATGATCCCTTAGTTATTGATGCATCTTCACAAAACAATGTACTTAGTTTGGAAATGAGAATTTTCCAGAATTAACCTAGTCTTAGTCTTAAAATATAAAAAGTACATTCTGAGTTAAGTACATTGTTAGTGATATTTCCATTAATTAATCCTAAATACACAAATCATATATTTTGCTGGGCATAGTGGCACATGCCTATTATCCCAGTGGCTCAGGAGGCTGAAGCAGGAGGATTGTGAGTTCAAAGCCAGCCTCAGCAACTTAGAGAGACCCTAAGCAACTTAGTGAGACCCTGTCTCAAACTATAAAAAGGGCTGGGGATGTGACTCAGCGGTTAAGCACCCCTGGGTTCAATCCTTCATAATCCCTCCCTCCAAAAAAGTCACATATATTTCAACTTCTTTCCCTATCATTTCTTCATCCTCTTTCTCATCATGATGGGTTTTTCACAATTACACACTTTTAAGCTTTATCTCCTTTCCATTTACCAATATTCCCCTTCCCACTGTAGTTAGACTTTGTTCCAAATATATAATTCAATAATGGTATTTAGAAAGGAACAAAAGCATAATTTATTGAGGTAGCACCTGGAAGCAGGATCTAGTTGTGTGGAGTTTAAGAAAAGATACTTCTGGGGCTGGGGTTCTAGCTCAGTGGCAGACTGTTTGCCTAGCATGTGCGAACCACTGGGTTCGATCCTCAGAACCACATAAAAAATAAAAATAAAAAATAAAGATATTGTGTCCAACTACAACTAAAAACATATTTTACAAAAAAAAAAAGAAAAGATACTTCTGTTCATTCAACTGTTCTTTTACTATTGAGTAGGTAGGTGGCTTTCCATATATTTAATCAAAAAGAACCTATTCCTTCACTTATATTGTTATTGTTTAAGTAGACATAAGTTGTGTTAACTTATCCATATGATATCAAGGTGTATATGTGCAGTAGTGGGACATGAGTTGAGATTCAGAAAAATACTTGATGACTGCCTCACTCTGTTCATTTGTTCATTCATTCATTCTTTCCTTCCTTCTTTCATTCATTCCCTACCTAATTTTAGAAAATATTTAATTTTTTAAATTAAATATTTATACTTATTTAATGAAAATCTTAACAGCAAGGCCAGATGTGATAGCACATGCCTGTAATCCTAGTGGCTTGGGAGACTATGGCAGGAGTATTGCAATCAAAGCCAGCCTCAGCAATTTAGCCAGATTCTAAGTGGGGCTGGGGTTGTGGCCCAGTGGTAAAGTGTTCACCTAGCACATGCAAGTCCCTGGGTTTGATCCTCAGCACCACATAAAAATAAATGAAATAGGGGCTGGGGATGTGGCTCAAGCGGTAGCGCGCTCGCCTGGCATGCGTGCGGCCTGGGTTCGATCCTCAGCACCACATACCAACAAAGATGTTGTGTCCGCCGAGAATTAAAAAATAAATATTAAAAAAAAAATTCTCTCTCTCTCTCTCTCTCTCTCTCTCTCTCTCTCTCTCTCCCTCCCTCCCTCCTCTCCTCTCCTCTCTCACTCTCTTTAAAAAAAAAATAAATAAATGAAATAAAGGTATTGTGACAATCTACAACTAAAATATTTTTAAAAAAATATTCTAAGCAACTTATCAAGACCCTGTCTCTAAATAAAATATAAAAAGGAGCTAGGGATGTGGCTCAGTGGTTAGGTGCCCCAGGTTCATAAAAAATCATAACAGTCAACTAAACTAGAATTAAATTCCTCAATTCACATTTATATAGTACTTTATAGTTTTCAATGTCTTTATAAGTATTTCCATCTGGGTAAAATAGAAAAGCTATAGTAACTTTTCAAATACATTTTCAATAAATAAATCCTTTAAAAACAATTTTTATTGTTTTAGTTATTTTATAAAAATGAGCAAAAGTTATATTTATTTCTGAGAGAAGATAAAAGTACCTTTTCTTTTTAGGGTCCAAGGATAGTTATTTTAACAGTGTTGGTGGGCCTGTGACTTCTAAAATAAAACCATCATGATCATTAGAAAAAAATCTGGAAAATAATCAATGATTACTTCATTATAACAGATCTAAGTATAATACACTAAAAAGAACTCTGAATACTATGTGATAACACATCTTTTTATTGCTTTTCTGTAAATGTGAATAAATCTAGAAACACATCAGAAGCAAATAGTCTTCTAATTCACCAAGATTTAGGATTTTGGAACCTACAGTGTAGAAGAACCAGCAAGTCCAGGTTGTGACATGCCTTGAATCAAGTTGAGAATTGTGGATGAAGAAGTTCTTTAAAGTACTAGAGATAGGGCTGGGCTGTGTAATTCAGTGGCAGAGTGCATGCCTAGTACGTGTGAGGCACTGGGTTCGATCCTCAGCACCACGTAAAAATAAAAATAAAGATGTTGTGTCCACCGAAAACTAAAAAATAAATATTAAAAAATTCTCTCTCTCTCTTTAAAAAAATAAATAAATAAAATAAAGGTATTGTGTCCATCTACAACAAAAATTTAAAAAATAAATAAAGGCATGCTGTCCATGTACAACTATAAAAAACTTTTTTAAAAGTACTAGAGCTGGGCTGGGGATGTGGCTCAAGCGGTAGCGCGCTCGCCTGGCATGCGTGCAGCCCAGGTTCGATCCTCAGCACCACATACAAACAAAGATGTTGTGTCCGCCAAAAAACTAAACAATAAATATTAAAAAATTCTCTCTCTGTCTATCTCTTAAAAAAATAAAAAAAATAAAAGTACTAGAGCTAACCAACACTTAAGAACAAGATACGTCAGAGGAAGATTATGGTCAAATAGGTTTAATGAATTGTTGAATATTTTCTTTATTTTCACATGTTCTTTGTCACTTGGGTTTTTTTTTTCAGTGTATAAATCCAAACAAATGACATTTCCATTTCACTAAAAAGAAACCACTTCTTTGGTTGTCATAGAACCTGGAGCTAAAATTTCTTTTAAGTTTCTAAAATTCTTATTTTATAAGTAATGTAGTTATTTTCAGACAACTAAACTTACATCAAAACTCATCCTGAGGGACTGGGAATAGGATTTAGAAGCAAACTGGTGTAATTCACACAAGTTTATAATGATGGAGAAAAACATTGCTAAAACCAAATTGGAACAGAGCTTTTAAAACCATCACTTTTGTCAGAAAGGTCAGTGGTTTCCTAGGGCAGGAAGAGTGATGGGGAGGAAGACAGTGCAAAAGATCATGAGGACATTATTTAGAGTGTGGGAACTCTTCTATACCTTGATTGTAGTTGTGGTTATGAAGCTATACATAATTACCAAAATTAACCATATACTTAAAAGTTGTGAATTGTATTGTATATAAATAATATTTTAAGAAATGAAAAAGAGGGTTGGGGTTGTGGCTCAGTGGTAGAGCACTTGTCTAGCATATGTGAGGCACGGGGTTCGATCTCAATACCGCATAAAAATAAATAAAGGTCTATTGAAACTAAAAAAAAAATATTAAAAAACAAGAAAGAGAAAAGTGAAACTGAGCATCATTTATACCAGAGCAAAATATACTCCCTCAGAGATTTTTTTTTTTTTTTGTACTAGGGATTAAACCCAGGGGTGCTTAACTACTGAGCCACATCCCTAGCCCTTTTTATTTTTTATTTAGAAACAGGGTCTCCCTAAGTTGCTTAGGGCCTCACTAAATTGCTGAGGCTGGCTTTGAAATTGTAATCCTTCTGCCTCAGCCTCCTGAGTCACTGGTATTATAGGCATGTGCCACAATGCCCAGCCCTCAGAGGTTTTTGATTGGGTATTTCAAAGAGCATAGACTTCAAGGCACTCCTTTCTTACCTTCCCAATCCATTTAGTGAGAGAAGCTGCTTGGGATACTGGTATTAGATCAATGCTCTTTACAGTGGATGGTGTGTCCAGATCATCATCATTCTGTGAAAGCAGAAAGCAGTGGATAATTGTAGCACCAATTACTTACTAATCAAGTACTTCTGGAGATAGCTGTTGCATGGGAAAGAGAACCCTTACTACTGAGCCTGACTTCATGTAGACAGCGCTCATCATGATAAAGCGAGCAGGGAATCTATGGTTTACTTCAATAAGCAAAGCTTTCCTTTGCCTCTTAGAGGAGAGAGCTCTGTAGTGGTTAAGGGGCTTCCTTAGCACCCCAGAAAACTTAGAACATGAGTACTCAATATTAAGAAATACATACTATATACACAAAATCTAAATTCAGCTTTCCTTCTTGGATTTGACCTATCCTTCGCTACCAAAAACTGTAATGCCATGTCCAGAAAAGGACCAAAACGGATTTAGCTAGAACTAAGACATAAATGGGACAGCAGGATCTATTAAAAAACAGTTTACAAGTTTTATGTGTACAAAATCAGTACTACATAATTGAGGGTTTTAAAATAGGCACTTTTCTAAAACACAATGTGAGTTAAACTTATATATTACACATTCCTTTTCTCCTCCTATAATACTTGGAGAATCTCTTATTCACTTACTCATGCCAAAACCTAAATTAATTAGAATTTGGCCAGCTAAAGGACTCCAATAACATCTATAAATTATTATTAGAAACAAAATGTGAACAGGGACAAGCCTCCAAAAGGTCTCTATCTATTCATTCTTCAGAATCTATTCCAAAATCAGAGTCAGAATGCCCATCTAAGGTACTCAGAGCTCAAAGGAAAAGATGTCTTCTGTTGATGATCCATTTCCTGATCTAACAACTCTAAAATCTGGAAATTGGAATTAACCAGAATCTCTCCCGCTCAAATTTCAGTTCAGTTCTTATTATCTCATTATCTGAAATGTCCACATAAAAAAACACTAAATATCAACCAACTACCATAACTAAGCAATCATGATATATAGAGACATTAAAAAATGTGAACAAGGGATATAACTATATTCTGAATATGTTTAAATTAAAGGTTGTATGTTAAAATGTTACCAGAACTATATGTCTGTAAAACAGACATAAAAATGCAATTTTTTTTTCATAAATCCATTGCCTATAGCTTAAAACTGACATATAGTTAGTAAATGATGTAGAAGGAAGTAAAAAATCATTTATCGTTTTGTAATCTAAGCATTTTAGTACAACTGAACTTTTTTTTTTAAATTGAGGATTGAACTCTCGGGCCCTCAATCACTGAGCCACATTGCCAGCCCTATTTTGTATTTTATTTAGAGACAGGGTCTCACTGAGTTGCTTAGTGTCTTGCTTTTTGCTGAGGCTGGCTTTGAACTCACAATCCTCCTGTCTCAGCCTCCTGAGCTCCTGGGATTACAGGCATAACTGAACTTTTTAAAGATTCTCTAGGACAGAGATGAAGCTGGTTTACAACAGCTATGGTTTTTATATCAGACAACTATGTACTTTGAACCCCACTTTCAAATAATGATAGTTATTTTTTAAATATTCCTTTTAGGTGTAGATGGACACAATATCTTTATTTATTTATTGTTATGTGGTGCTAAGGATCGAGCCCAGTGCCTCACACGTGCAAGGCAAATACTCTACTACTGAGCTCCAGCCCTAATGATAGTTGTTTTATGGATAAATCATAAGCTGTTTCTTAAGATAATTCAAGTTATTTATGGAAAAGATACTGCTTAAATATCAAACAAGAGCTGATATTTTCAGAAATTACAGTGAAACTAGACAGCACAACACTACAATAGAGAAAATTTGAAAGTTTGGGCAAAATTAAAGTGTTACTGTAAAACATACCAGTTTCAGATTTTCTTCCCAAGACTGACTTATCTGTATTGCAGTGTGTACCTCCCTACAAAAGAAAAGAAATCAGTACGTAGTTTGCCTATCTGAAGGAAAAGATATAACTGAATATACAAATTATTAAAGTGGTAATTGAAAGTACAGTACTCACCGTTCATGCATTGCTTCTCTGTTTACTACATCCATGCCTTCTTCCTGGAAGGTGGGAAGATGAGGGTCAAGTGAATGTCTAGTTCCTATGGTTTCAAACAGTTTCATTTGGATTGAAAATTTCAAAATTTCATTTGGATACATCTATATTATTACTCATGGGGCTATAGAAGAGCTACAGTATAAACAAATCTCCATATAAGTAAATTATTCTGCATTCTTCATTGTTACACAAACTACCACACAAAATATATTACTTGTGCATTACAGTACATCAGATATGCAGGGAAGGATTAGATGAAAAACTTTCATTCTGTGCTGGGTGCAGTGGCACATGACTGTAATCCCAGCAGCTCAGGAGGCTGAGGCAGGAGGATCCCAAGTTCAAAGCCAGTCTCAGCTCAGGAGGCTGAGGCAGGGAGATCTCAAGTTCAAAGCCAGTCTCAGCAATTTAGTGAGGCCCTGTCTGAGAGAGAGAGAGAGAGAAGAAGGAGGAGGAGGAGGAGGAGGAGGAGGAGAAGAAGAAGAAGAAGGAGAAAAGAAGAAGAGAAAGAAAAAACAGAGTTTCAAGATTGTTGTTTACCCCAGTACAATGGCTCACACCTGGAATTCCAGCAACTTGGGAAGCTATTGCAAGGTTCAGTCCAGCCTCAGAAGGGCTAGCCTCAGTGAGGCCCTAAGTAACTTAGTGAGACTCTATGTCAAAACAAACAAACAACAACAATGGAAAAAAAAAAACAGGCTGGGGATATGGCTCAGTTGTAGACTATCCCTGGGTTAAACCCCAGAGTCAAAAAAAAAAAAAAAAGGTTGTTGTTTACAGTATAAACAATACGTTTTGGGGAGTCCACAATAGAAGACTGGTAATATGAGTTGTATGAAAAGAACAAAATTTGACCTAGGCCTTTAAAGATGCTCAAATATGGACAAGCAGAGAGTGGAGGGAAGAATATTCCAAACTGAAGGTACCATATGAACAAAAGATTAGAGGAAGAAAATAATACGGCAATAGTTGACTCTAGCTTGATGAACAGAGTTTGTATGTTAGAATAATGAAAAGATAAAACTGGAGAGGTAAGACAGAATCAGATTTATGGGATCTTAAACAACTGAAGAGTTTGAACATAAAAAGAGTTTGGGTAAAAAAGAATAGTTGTTAGGCCCAAAGACTTTGGAGCCAAAAAGAACTGATTAGAATCCCAGATTCCTAGAATCTGTAACTTAGATATAACCTAAGCCTTGGTTTCTTCATCTATATAAAGATGATAATAATGAGAATACTAATGTTCTTGATAAGTTCTCAACATAGTGCCTATCACGTAGTTAGTGCTCAATACAAATCAGTTATTCTTAATCTATTTTTTTTTGTGTGTGTGTGTGGTGCACGAGGATTGAACCCAGGGCCTTGTGCATGTGAGGCAAGCACTCTACCAACTGAGCTATATCCCCAGCCCTAATTCTATTATTAACAGTTAATGGGAAACCATTGTTACTTTTGTGTAGTAGAGAAAATATGTAAAAAATAATGTTTTAGAAAAATCATCTTGAGGGGCTGAGCTCAGTTGGTAGAGTGCTTGCCTTGCATACACAAGGCCCTGGGTTCAAACCCCAGCACCACAAAAAAAAAAGAAAAGAAAAGAAAAGTTATCTTGATCTCTGTAATCTTAGCAACTCGGGAGGCTTAGGCAGGAAGACCATGAGTTCAAAGCCAGCCTCAGCAAATTAGAGAGGCCCTAAGCAAATCAGTGAGACACTGTCTCTAATATACAAAAAAGAGCTGGGGATGTGGCTCAGTGGTTAAGCACCCCTGGGTTCAATCCTGGTGTGTGTGTATGTATATGTGTGTGTGTATATGTATATATGTGTGTGTGTGTGTGTGTGTGTGTGTGTGTGTATATATATATATATATATATATATATATATATATATATATATTGGTGTTAATTGTGGAAGTCAGATAAAACTGGAAGAGATAGGAAATCTGTTAGGATATCACCTTTGTAATTTGGACCCAAGGGACAAAAGAAGGAAGTGGCACTGAAAACAGAGAAGATGTTGTCAAGGAAAAAATAATAGGATTAGAGGTCTAATTGGATGGAAAAATAAGACAAAGTGAAAATTAACTCTTAAAACTATTTGATGGTGACTATTTTGATACCATCATGGAAAATGATGGAAATTCAGAAAGCTGGTTTAAGAAGAAAACCAGTATCTTAGAATAATGGAATAATAGTCAATCTTTTAAGCAAAATTGTTAGTATAATTCTTCCATTTTATATTTATGTAGATGTTTTCCTCTAGTGAGAAAAGCTCAAGGTATTTTGTAATTCAATCAATGAACAAGCAAAAAGCAAGTTTTCCTGGAACTGGGACTAAATTTTACTTAACATTCCTCCCATTCAAAATAGGAGCATGAGCTGGGTGGCACACAGCTGTAATCCCAGCGACTCAGAGGTTGAGGCAGGAGGATAGCAAGTTCAAGCCAGCCACAGCAACTTAGCAAGGCACTAAGCAACTCAGTGAGATCCTGATACTAAATAAAAAATAAAACAGGGCTGGGGATGTGGCTCAGTGGTTAAGCGCCCCTGGGTTCAATCCATAGTACAAAAAGAAAAACAAAAAAAGAACCCCACAGGAGCATGAGGTAATATCAGCTATTGAGTACTGTTAGTAAAAGGGAGTTGATGTCTTTACATTTTATGTCTTGTCTTTTTCCAAAATGGATTGGAGAATTTTAGATGACTTTATATTAAGACTGTAAAAATAAGGATAAAATTCTAGTATACAGTACTCTTTGCCTCTGATGTAACTGTCACACTTGAGAATTTAAGGTTGTTTTCTTTTTCTGGTATGGTACCAGAGATTGAACCCAGGGTGCTTAACCATTAGGCTACATCCCCAGCCCTTTTTTATATTTTATTTTGAGATAGGGTCTGGCTAAGTTGCTGAAGTTGACTTTGAATTTGCCATTCACCTGTCTCAGCCTCTGAGTCACTGGGATTTCAGGTGTGTGCCACTGCACCCCGCAGTGTAGTTTTCAATATTTTGTGTGTGTTTGCTGGGGATTGAACTCAGGGCCTTGTGCATGTGAGGCAAGCACTCTACCAACTGAGCTAGATCCCCAGCTCATAGTTTTCAATTTTTGAGTATACAAGGTAAAAAAAAGAAAACAATTTTCTTCCCTGAGGGAGACTATGCCTGAAAGATTTAGTTGTCAAATGCCTGCACAGAGTTCAATAAATGCTTGCTGAAACAATTTGTAAACAAAGATCAAATTAAATTTCTTTTAAAACAAGTTAGGCTCTTCCCTTAAAGAACTTCTGTTCATGAAAGAGACTAGGCACTTATTAGATTCTAAAAAGAAAAAAGGAAGATAAAAGAAAGTCCTCAAAAACATATCACAGAAATTGAATTTCAATGCTTTATTAGACAAGAAAATACTCACAAAAAGATACTATTTAAACTGTGCCCATCATAATCACAACCAGTTGGCATAATCCATCTTAAATGGCTTAATCTTTGTTTTTTTGGGTACTGGGGATTGAATCTGGGGCAATCAATCACTGAGCCACATCCCGAGCCCTATTTTGTATTTTATTTAGAGACAGGGCCTCACTGAGTTGCTTAGCGCCACGCTTTTGCTGAGGCTGGCTTTGAACTCCTGATCCTCCTTCCTCAGCCTCCCAAGCCACTGAGATTACAGGCATGTGCCACCACGTCAGGCTTAAATGGCTTCATCTTATAAAGTTCCCTTATATTTACATCTAACTTCAATTTAATTAGTAAAATCCGGGTAAGATAAAAAGAAAAATGTAATATGTTATTAAAGTTCAAATTTGTGAATATATAAAAACAAGGATTACTAGAAATTCAAGTAAGAACATTTAAAACAATCTTTATTTTTATTTTTGCATTATAAAATATATATAATTGTGGGATTTGTTATTACATATTTATACATGCAAACAATAGAACAACATAAGGAAGGACAATAGAACAATATAAGGAAGATACTTTTCAATTGATTTTACTTAAGACACCATAGAGAAAATCAAGTGCTTACTGGATGCCACTGTTGGTTTTGATTTGCTTTCAGTAGTGGGTATTGAACTCAGAGCCAAGTGCAAGGAAGTACTCTACAACTAAGCTACAAACATATCCCCAGTCCTTTTAAAAATTTTTTATATTGAGACAGGGCCTTACTTAGTTGCCCAGGCTAGCCTTGAACTTGTGATCCTCCTCTCTCAGCTTTCAAAGTAGCTGAAATTGGCAGGAAGATCACAAGTTCGAAGCCATCTTCAGCATCTTGGAGAGGCTCTAAGTAACTTAGCAAAACCCCATCTCAAAATAAAAAGTAAATGTTGCTGGGAGTACAGCTCAGTGATTAAGCATCCCTGGTTCAATACCATTATAAATAGATAGATAGATAGATAGATAGATAGATAGATAGATAGATAGATAAAAGAGGGTTAGGGATGTAATTCAGTGGTAAAATACCTCTGGGTTCAATCCCCAGAACCAAACAACAAAAAGTAGCTGAGATAACAGTCCTGTGCCACCCGGATACCAAGGATTTTACATCCTCCTTAACAAGTCAGGAAATAAAGTTATACAATGAAATACTGCGAGGAAACTCAATCGTGTCCCTCAAAATTCAGACATTGAAGTCCTAACCCCTAGTGCCTCAGAAGGTGACCTTATTTGAAGATTGGGCCTTTATAGAGGTAACTAAGTTAGGAGGAGGTCATCAGGTTGGACCCTAGTCCTAAATGACTGATGTTTATATAAAAAGAAGAAATTTGGGGGCATAGCTCAGTAGTAGAGACTGGCCTAACATCACAAGGCCTTGGATCTGATCCTCAACACCCTCCCCCCAAAATAATCCCAGAAATTTAGAGACTGGCACATAATACAAAGAGAACTCCAAAAAGCTTTCAATTTTTTGCTATGCTAGGTAAAACCAGAAACCAACTTTTGTTCTCTGAGGGAGACTATGCCTGAAAGATTTTAGTTGCCAAGTGGTTGTACAGTATGTCTTCATATGAATGTGAAGACAGCCATCCACAAGCCAAGGAGAGAGGCCTGAAACAGATCCCTCCTTCACCTCCTTCATAAGGAATCAATTCTGGAACACCTTGATTTCAAACTTCTGGCCCCCAGAACAGTGAGGTAAAACACATTCCTATTGTTTAAGACACACAGTTTGTAGTACTTTGTTACAGTAGCCTGAGGAAACTCATACACAAATTATTTCTGCAGAGCATTTACTCATGTTTAATATTTTGGGAGATAGAGAACTATAGAGGATGCTTTCAAATCTCTTGAAACAAAATATCACTTGTTATTAGGAAAGGAAAAATCACAAAAAACATTAAGGAAGAACTACTATGTGCTTAGAAAATTAACTTCAAGCTCTCTAACATGAGAAAAACAGCAAACAATCACAATCAAGAAATTGTCCAGCTGGGCATGGTGGCACATGCCTGTAACCCCAGCTGCTCAAGAGGCTGCGTCGTAGACTGGGAAATACTGAGTTCAAAGCCAGCCTTAGCAATGTCAAGGTGCTAAGCAACTCAGTGACACCCTGTCTCTAAATAAAATACAAAATAGGGCTGGGGATGTAGCTCAGTGGTGAGTGCCCCTGAGTTCAATCCCCAGTACCAAAAAATAAATAAATACATACATACATACATACATAAATAACAAATTGTCCTTTAACTATCCAGTAGGAAAGGTTGCAATTTAAACGATACAATTATTTAAATGTTAACCCATAACCTAACATTCACTTGGGACTATGTGCTTATTTAAAAATAAAAGCAAATTTCATCAGTTTACAGGAAATACAGGGAATAAAAGTACATGTAAACACCACATGGAAGCAAAAGAAGAATGTGGGACATTCTACAGGACAAATGACCTGGTTTCTACAGTAAAAACATAGCAGTGAACAAAAACAGGAAGAAAAGGATGTTTTAAATAAAGAAGATCTGAGAGATATATCAACCAAATGTCATGTTTGGATTGTTTGTGAATCAATAAAAATGACATTTAAATCTAACATGGACTTAGACGACACTAAGTGTAATTTCTTACACATAATGATAATGTGATTATGCCAAAGTGCCTTTTTCTTTTCTTCTTCTTATTTTTGTTTTTGGTACTAGGTATTGAACACAGAGACACTTAACCCTTGAGACACATCCTCACGCCTTTTCATGTTTTATTTAGAGACAGGGTCTTGCTAACTTGTTCAGGGCCTCACTGCCGCAGTTTGGCTGGGCACAATTCAGGAGCCACTTGTCAAAAGACACGAACTTTATTTTTAGAACCACACAGGCCAAACAAAACAGCTCCTCAGGAAAAACCTTCAGAACCCAACTGCCACCACCGGCTTCCCACAAGCCTTTCAAACTCCCCCACTCCTCCTGCTCTTGAGGCCGATTGGCTGGGTTGTGTGGGCGGAGCCAAAAAAGTCCCCCAATGAGCAGCTCCGTGGTCTGAAAGGGCAGGGAAACAGCCCAATGAGTATCACCGCAGAGGAGCCAATCAGTTGGCAGCTAGAAGTTGCTGGGACCGCTGTGAGCCAATCATTGGCTGGCAGCTGGAAGTTTGCTGGGGCCCCTTCGGCTGTGGCTCTCAACACCTCACTAAATTGCTGAGAATGGCTTTGAACTTGTGATCCTCCTGCCTTAGCCTCCAGAACCATTGAGATTAGAGGTGTGCACCACTGCATCTAGTACCAGAGTGTCTTTTTCATGCCCATAAATTTAGGCAAAAAGATATGTCCGGGATTTACTTTAAAGTACTAACCCTTCACTCCCCTCAAAATAGAAATAAATGAAAAATTATGTTACAAATGTGGATAATTGTTAAAAGTTAGGTATTGAGTACATAGAGGTTCTGGTTTATATATTTTTAAACTTCCATTAAAAATTGTAATGCAAGCTGGGTGCTATGCAACATGCCTGTAATCTCAGTGCCTTAGGAGGCTAAAGCAGGAGGATCACAAATTCAAAGGCAGCCTCAGCAAAAGTGAGGCACTGAGCAACTCAGTGAGACCCTGTCTCTAAATAAAATACAAAATAGGGCTGGGGATGTGGCTCAGTGGACAAGTACCCCTGACTTCAATCCTCAGTACTCCCTCCAAAAATATTTCCATGCAAAGCAGGGCATAGTGGTGCACACCTGTAATCCCGGTGACTTGGCAGGCTGAGGCAGAAGGATTGTGAGTTCAAAGCCAGCCTCAGCAACTTAATGAAGCCCTACTCTACTTAATAATGTGGCTCAGTGGTTAAGCACCCCACTACTCTACTACCAAAAATAAAAATTAATGCAGTATGCTCTATATTATACATATATTAATTACTTTCATCCTCATAACAATCCTGACAAGGCTACCACTATTTCCTCCATTTTACTGAAAAATGAAATAAATATCCTTATTAATGTTGTTAAAGTGAAAGTTTAGTATACAATGGGGAGAGGACCACTCATTTCTGTTTTAAGCTTAAAACTTTAAATTCAACAACAAATTAGTAGTAGTCATGGTTAAAGAATGTATATAAAGAAATAAGCAACTTAAGATAATTATCAGTCCATTAAACTGAGAATAAGTCTTAATTTTCCATTCAATCAGTACCCAGGTTCAAAGTTAGTGTAATATCTATTTTCCCATCACTAATTTTCTACTTGTTTTTCACTTTAAATGTTTATAATACATATTCTGGCACTATGGAAATAAACTACTTTACAACCTATGTTATTAACCAGTTCAAATAGTACTGATTTTTCTTAAAATAACCCATTTTCAAATTTTGGGCTTAATTTAGGAGAAGAAAAAATCCAAATTGCACAGATAAGTCAAAGGTCACTTTTACTGTTGGTGTGAAGTTTATATTATTCTTTAAAAAATTCTAAAATAGCATCACACAAAGGTAAGTACTGGAAGGTAAATATTAAAGGAATGGACTGGGTGCAGTGGCACACTCCTATAATCCCTGTGGCTCAGGAGGGTGAAGCAAGAGGATCACAAATACAAAGGCAGCCTCAGAAACTTAGCAAGGTCCTCAGCAACTTAGTGACACACTGTCTATAAATAAAATCTAAAGAAAAAGGGGGTCTGGGATGTGGCTCATTGGTTAAGTGCTTCTGCATTCAATCTCTGGTACAAAAAAAAAAAAAAAAAAATTCAGTTCCTGGTATCAAAAAATATATAAAATGGGTCTAGCACAGTGGTGTACACATGTAATCCCAGCAGCTCTGAAGGGGAATACAGGAGGATTACAAGTTCAAAGCCAGCCTTAATAACTGAGTGAGACCCTGTCTCTAAATAAAATACAAAACAGGACTGTGGATGTGGCTCAGTGGCTGAGTGCCCCTGAGTTCAATCTCTGGTATCAAAAAATAAAATAAAATAAAAATAAAAATAAAATGGTTTTATCATACTTTCCTGCTAATGTAAGGTAACCTGACCTTAGGACAGCCATGGTACTGGTGAGGGAAAGAGGAAAAGGATACAAGAATTAGAGGACTAACAACTAGGTTTACGAAATATCTTTATGGATTTTGTGCCACTCTAATAGAGAAAGGGGAGCTGAAAAAGAATCCAGTATTTGGGGGCTAAATCTTGCCTCTGACATTCATTAAGTATGGACATTGGGTACATAAGTTCTGCTGTCTTTCATTTCTGACCTTGTAAGGCAGTTGTGAGATGAAATCAGATCAAGATGTAAAGTACTGGTCACAGTGCTAAGCGAATAAGTGCTTCATAACAGTTAAGCACCCCCTTGCAAAAAAGCTGCTTGTACCTGGGTCAGAAAAAAATCCTACCACCTGTGATGGAGTGGTAATTTGATCTTTTTGAGTTTGGTGGATAATCCTTGGATAATTAAAAGGTTTAATTCTGTACTTGGCTTGTGCTGTTAAATACACACATACATATAAATACGCACAAAACATAAACTAGTAAGGTACAATGTGTCCCTAAACTCAGCTCACTAAGAACTGAATGTGAAACAATAACAATAAAGGCCACTTTAGCTGGTCTTTGAAAAAATTCATCAGAGAGAGTTTTAAGAAAACATAACTGGTAATTATGAAGCTACAAGCTTAATTTTTATATATAACCTTCTTCTTTGAGATCCTTGGAAGAAACTAGATTCAAAATATAAGGGTATGTGGTATTTCTAGAAACTAACAATTTATTAAAATAACTAATAGCCCAAATAAATAGAGAACTTAGTAGTTTGTTTTGTTTACAAAACCATTCCTAAAATTAGAAACTTAATTGCACGTGACCTGGCTTAGAATTACTGAAACATAGATCTTTTTTAAAAAAAAAATAAAATAAAATTTACTTTTGTTAATGAACATCTGTCAAGTTTGAAAGCCTTCTTACCTGTTTTATTTGATGCAAGTGGCTGGCAGAAGTAGAAACAACTGAAATTTAAAATAGAAAAGTCAAGCTTGTGTTAACATTTCTGATTAGTTATTTCTAAACACAAAGTCAAGGTTGAATCATCTAAGATATTTATTGAGTGTCTAATGTGTAAAGCATAAAGGTCACTGGTATAACTTCATACCAATGGTACTGGTTAAGGTCAAATTTTAAAATATTCAATTGGATCTTGACCAAAATAATTATGCTAACCAAAGTCTAATATATTTCAAAACCCAACAAAATAACTATTAACAGAAATATAGGACAGAGCCTGGCATGGTGGTGCATACATGTAATCCCAGCAGATCCAGAGGCTCAGACAGGAGGATCCCAAGTTCAAGGCCAGCCTCAGGAACGTAGTAAGGTGTTAAGCAACTTAGTGAGATCCTGCCTCGAAATAAAAACCCAAGCCAGGCCCAGTGGTGAAGCCTGTAATCCCAGTGGCTTGGGAAGCTGAAACAGGAAAATTGTGACTTCAAAGTCAGCCTCAGCCATGGGGAGGCATTAAGCAACTCAGTGAAACCCTGTCTCTAAATAAAATACAAAATAGGGCTGGGGTATGGCTCACTGGGTGAGTATGCCTTAGTTCAATCCCTGGTCCCCCCGCCAAAAAAAAAAATTAAAAAGGGCAGGGGATGTGACTCAGTGGTAAAACACCCTGGGTTTAATATCACAGTACCTCATTCTTCTTGCCAGTTTAAGGCCATCCTTAAAGCTTAGTGAAAGACTTTTCTTGGAACAAATAGCAGAAACAGTCCTTATATCAGCAGATAACTTGCCAAACTTACAAAACAAACATAAAAGAAGCAACTCCGCCAAACACCTTGAAATCTAGGCAGGGAAACCAAATTTTCATTAATATCAATTGACTTTAGGCAATCATTTTCAAGTACTTAGCACATTTACTCTTGATTGCTATGATACTTGTTATCTATGTCCTTTCACTTTGGGGAGGCTACTTTCTCTTTTTAGGTCTTATGTCAAAGCTTATGACATCATTAGTGCTGTAGTGTGAATTTTCTGGGGTGTGTTGGATTTGAACTTGGGCTACAGAATCATAGAAAGTTTTTTTAATATGTATTTTTTAATTTTTTAGTTCTTAATCTACCTTTATTTATTTTTAGTTCTTAATCTACCTTTATTTATTATTTTATTTATATGTGGTGCTGAGAATCGAACCCAGTGCCTCACACATACCAGGCAAATGCTCTACCACTGAGCAACAACCCCGGCACCTAAATTTTTTTTTATAGTAGATGGACACAATACCTTTATTTTATTTTCATGTGGTGCTGAGGATCAAACCTAGTGCCTCACACATGATAGGGAAGCACTCTACCAATTGAGCAAAACCCTAGCCCCAGAAATTTTTTTAACTGGACAAAAAGTGAATCAAATACTAGACTGGCTGATTTTTTTGTAGTAATAATGGAGAAAACAATTAATTGGAAGAGTTAAGTACCACAGTTGATGTCATAATTTCAGCCAGGCAATCTTCTAGTGATTTCCTGGACAAAGTTTTCCAATAGGAAATTCTAAAACTTTTCCTGAAACCAAACTGAGTCCTCCCCATCCCTTAGGTATCAGTGAAAAACAATCTCTTCCAGGAAGTCTTGTAATTAGTTTAGAATAGTTTAGCACACTCTGCAAAATGCCTCAGATAATTTTTCTACATAAAACAAAATATTAAAATAAAGCATCCTGAGATGTTGTTAAAACTCACCAGTATCTTCTGTGTTGATTTCTCACATGTCTCTTATACTCCAGGGGAAAAAAGGCGTTGGAAGGAAGCAAGAATATGCACCTAGGAATGGCATCACCAAGGGATAATGTCATAGTTTGGGGCAGGGGAGAGTAGGGTTGTAAGGAGGGATTGGGATGAGTGCTACGTGAAACTGAAACTGATTCCTAGGATTTATCTCAAGTGAAGTAATTAAGATAGGAAGAAAGACTAATATTAGTTTCATTTAAAAGAAAAACCACAGAAAATTAATATTCTACAGATACTAAAATTTTAAAAGTAAATTTTAACTTTTCTAGGTGTGCTTTTACCCATTTCCTAGTCCTTACTAGAGATAAAAGGCTTAATTGTGAATGAAAAGTTGTATGCTGTGTTTAGAAATGTCTACCTGGTTCTAGAAATTACTTAAGTTGGTTTCCAATGGTACTTAACAAGAATTGAGTCCAGGCTGAACAGACACAGCACAGACAGAGCGAGGTCTGGAATGGATTATACACTTGCTGCTGGGTGAGCCATTAACTAGATTTAGGGTTTGTAGCTGTCAATGTGAAAAGTTAAACCCAATCAGGTAAATATCAATAGCTATAAAATTAAAGAGGACGAATTGCTCAAGAAAAATACCATTTAAAGCACTCCAGTAATCCCAGCAACTCAGGAGGCGGAGACAGGAGGATCAGAAGTTCAAAGCCAACTTCAGCTAAGCAACTCAGTGAGACCCTGTCTCTAAATAATTTACAAAATATTGCTGGGGATGTGGCTCAGTAGTTGAGTGCCCCTGAGTTCAATCTCTGATAACACCCTCCCCCAAAAAGAAAAACACAATCTTGTCTAATAGGAAGATGAAACATTTCTCCTGCTTCCTTTGGAATAGCAGGGGGCAGATAAGGATGGAGAAATGCCACAGTTGCACACAAATTCAACAGAGGTGCTAAGAAGATTCTTGGCAGAGAGGTGGGGAATGGGCACGCCAAACTCAGAGTTAAGAGATAAAGAAAAGGGGGGGGGGCAAGGCAGGGTGGCACAGGCCTATAATCGCAACAGCTCAGGAGGCTGAAATAGGAGGATATCGAGTTCTAAGCCAACCTCAGCAAAAAGGAGGCACTAAGCAACTCAGTGAGACCCTGTTTCTAAATAAAATAAAAAATAGGGCTAGGGATGTGGCTCAGTGGTTCAGTGCTCCTGAGCTGAATCCCTAGAACCAAAAAAAAAAAAAAAAAAAAAAAAGTGGGGGGTGGTGGTGGTTTGAAGGGAAGGCAGAGTCCCAATATTCAGAAGAGACCCTCATGTTTCTACTAACTAGAAGTGGGATTCAGTAATTTCTTGAAAGTGGTGAAAAAAATATTTGTGCTTTATTAAGCAGAATAATTATGAGATAACTCACAATTATACAATGCATAAGAAATATGCATCCGTATTTATATTTGTTTGCTAAATAAAACCCACGGTTTTTCAATGCCATTTGTTACAGTGATTTTTTTTCCTAAAATATTGTTTTACCTATATTGAAGTGCATGAAAAGCAGGACCAATTTTTTATCTTCAATTGTACATAACAAAATTTATCATTGTAATCATTTTTAAGTACACAGTTCAGTAGTGTTGTACACACTGTTGTACAACCAATCTCCAGAACTCTTCATCTTTCAATACCGAAACTCTATACCCATTAAACAATACCTGCTGTTCCTCCCTCCTCCCAGCCCTGGCAATCACCAATTTACTGTCTCTATGAATTGACCACTCTAGGTACCTGCAATACCAATTTTTTTCAGGGGGCGGGGTACTGGGGATTGCACTCAGGGGCCCTCAACCATTAAGTTACATCCCCAGCCCTATTTTGTAATTTAAAAGAAACAAGGTCTCACTGAGTTGCTAAGTGCCTCCTTTTTTGCTGAGGCTGGCTTTGAACCTGTGATCCTCCTGCCTCAGCCTCCTAAACCACTGGGATTATAGGTGTGCACCACCAACCCAGAGTCTATAGTACCAATTTTAAGGATAGTCCAGGATGGGAAAGACACTTACATATATATAGTTTATGAGCCAAGCACAGTGGCACAGACCTGTAATCCCAGCAGTTTGGGAAGCCGAGGAAGAAGGATCATGGTTTCAAAGTCCCAGCAAGGGCTGGAAATCCTGAGTGAGATCCTGTCTCTAAATAAAATACAAAATAGGGCTAGAGATGTGGCTCAGTGGTCAAGTTCCCCTGAGTTCAATCCCTGGTAACCCCCAACAAAAAAATACACACACACACACACACACACACACACACACACACACTTACACATATATAGTTTATGATACCACTCAACAATGCTTATATTTTTTTCAGGAATGATAGTTCTACTTTGTAATGTGATATGTTAGCTAGAAATGAAAAATACATTTATTGTTCATGCTTTCTGAAAAATATTTAAATACCATAGAGATACATAAATTAGAAATAAAATTCCTGGGGCTGAGATTGTGGTTCAGTGGTAGAACGCTTGCCTAGCACATGCGAGGCCGGGGGTTTAATCCTCAGATCTATTTTGTATTTTATTTACAGACATGGTCTGAGTTGCTTAGGGCCTTGCTTTTGGTGAGGGTTTCTTTGAACTCATGATCCTCCTGTCTCAGCCTCAGGAGCCACTAGGATTACAGGCCTGGGCCACAACAGGGATGATGGTATATTTTGACAAAATAAAGGTATATGCATAGCACTGTTACAGCAAGTTAAACCTATAAGCCATGAATGTTCCCATCACCAAATATGTAAAAATGAATTTAATTCTGCAAAACAATGTGTTTTATAAGATGGCTTATTTTAAGTATGCATTATATTAAACTAAATTATAAGTAAATTAAGAAATTAAAATTCCTAAGAAATATTATGCATTTAAAAATTTTAGGTACTAGGCTGGGCATGGTGGTGTATGCCTGTAACCCCAGTGGCTTAGAAGGCTGAGGTAGGAGGATCTGGAGTTCAAAGCCAAGCTCAGCAAATTAGTGAGGCCCTCAGCAACTCAGTGAGAACCTGTCTCTAAATAAAACACAAAAAAAGGGCTAGAGATGTGGCTCAGTGTTTAAGCCCCTCTGGGTTCAATTCCCATTACCAAAAAAAAAGTTGTGGAAATAATGTTCAATATCATTCTATGAAGATGAAAACATCTAATTTTAAGCTTAAGATGTAATTTTTTGGAGGGATACTAGGAATTGAACCCAGAGGCACTTTACCACTGAGCCACACCACACATCCTTTGAATTTCTTATTTTGAGGCAGGATCTCAGTAAGTTGCTAAGGACCTTGCTAAATTGCTGAGGCTGCCCCCAAACTTGCAATTCTCCTGCCTCAGACCCCAAATCACTGGGATTACTGGCTTGCACCATTGTACCCAGCAGGAAGTATACTCTAAAATTTATTTCAAGGTATAACATTTCAGTAGAATGCACTCTACAGATTCCTATAGAAATTCATATGATAGGGGGCTGGGGTTGTAGCTCAGTGGTTGAGCACTTGCCTAGCATGTGTGAAGCCCTGGGTTTGATTCTCAGCACCACATATAAATAAAATAAGTAAATAAATAAAGGTCCATCAACAACTAAAAAAATTTAAAGAAAAAGAAATTAATGTGATAGAGAAATCTATAAACAATTAACTGTATGACAACAAGTTAATCTATATAAAATGGACAAATGCCTAGAAACACACAAATTACCAAAATGATTCAAGAAGAAATAGAAAATCTCAACAGACTTATAGTAAGACATAGAATATGTGGTCAAAAACCTTCCAACAGGGCTGGGGATGTGGCTCAGTGGTAGAGCACTTGCCTAGCATGTGTGAGGCACTGGGTTTGATTCTCAGCACCACATAAAAATAAATAAATAAAATAAAGGTATTGTGTCCATCTACAACTAAATAAAATAAAATAAACAAACAAACCTTTCAATAAAGAAATTTCCAGGACTAGGGGCTGGGGATGTGGCTCAGTGGTAGAGCACTTGCCTAGCATGTGTGAGGCACTGGGTTTGATTCTCAGCACCACATAAAAATAAATAAATAAAATAAAGGTATTGTGTCCATCTACAACTAAATAAAATAAAATAAACAAACAAACCTTTCAATAAAGAAATTTCCAGGACTAGGGGCTGGGGATAGAGCTCAGTTGGTAGAGTGCTTGCCTTGCATGAGCAAGGCCCTGGGTTCAATCCCTAGCACCACAAAAAAAAAAAAAAAAGTAATTTCCAGGACTACATGGTTTCATGGATAAACTCTATAAAACATTTAAATGAAGACCTAACACCAATCTTTTTCAAATTCTTCCAAAATTAGAGAGGCTGGGGCTGGGGTGCAGCTCAGTGTTAGTGCATAGCTTACTTAGCATGTGCAAGGTCCTGGGTTCCAGTCTTAGAACTGCAGGGGAAGAAAAAGCTAGCACTTCCTAATGCATTCTGAAGCCAGCAATTACCCAGATACCAAAGCCAGCAAAGATACTTCCAGAAAAGAAACCTACAGACCAATATCCCTTATAAATAAAGGTGCAAAAAGATTCATTCCAGGAACTCAAGGGAGGTTTAACATAAGAAAATCATAGTGCTACATTATATAAATAGGACAAAGAGGGAAAACATGGTCATATCAAAAGGATTAGAGAGAACACTCATGACAATTCAATGCCTTTTCTGTTTTGGGTACCAAGGATTGAATCTAAGAGTGTAGTAGCACTGAGCTATACCCCAGCCCTTTTTATTCTTTGATTTTGTGATAGAGTCTCCTTAAATTGCTGGCGCTGGCCTTGAATTTGTGATCTTTCTGCTTCAACCTCCCAGAATTACTGGGATTATAGGGTTGCACCACCCATTCCCCCAAGGCTCAAAAGCCCTTACAACATGGAAACCCTCAGGGACTAAAAATGAAAGGAAACTTCCTTAACATGATAAAGGGAATTTACCAAAATGCACAGTTAACATTACAATGAATATTAACTCTGAAAGCTTTCCCACCAGGACTAGGAACAAAACAAGGATGGGCACTTCCTGAAACTAAAGAGAGCTGAGGGTTGAACAACATGGTGAATGCGCTGAATTGTACATTTTATTTATTTTTTAGCAGTACTGGGGATTGAACCCAATGGAACTCTAGCACTGAGCTATATCCCCAGCTTTTATTATTATTTTTTTAATTTTCAGACAGGGTCTGGTTAAATTACTGAGGCTGGCCTCAAACTTGCTATCCTCCTGCATCACCCTCCAGAGTAGCTGGAATTACAGGCCTAGGTCACCTCACTTGGCAAATTGTTTTTTTTTTTTTTTTAAAGAGAGTGAGAGAGGAGAGAGAGAGAGAATTTTTAATATTTATTTTTTAGTTCTCGGCGGACACAACATCTTTGTATGTGGTGCTGAGGATCGAACCCAGGCCGCACGCATGCCAGGCGAGCGCGCTACCGCTTGAGCCACATCCCCAGCCCCTCACTTGGCAAATTGTACACTTTAAAACAATTAAGTAAATGTTATGTGAGGGCTGGGGCTGGGGCTCCAGCTCAGTGGTAAAGCACTCGCCTTGCATGTGGAAAGCACTGGGTTTGATCCTCAGCATGACATGTAAGTAAAATCAAAGTATTGTGTCCATCTACAACTAAAAATATATTTTTAAAAAGTTATGTGAATTGGGCTGAGGATGTGGCTCAAGTGGTAGCACACTCGCCTGGCATGTGTGCGGCCCGGGTTCAGTCCTCAGCACCACATACCAACAAAGATGTTGTGTCCGCCGAAAACTAAAAAATAAATATTAAAAAGTTCTCTCTCTCTCTCTCTCTCTCTCTCTCTCTCTCTCTTTCTCTCTCTCTCTCTCTCTCTCTCAAAAAAAAAAAAGTTATGTGAATTTTACCTCAATACAATTTTCATAAAATGAATCATTCAGTCACCTTGGTTTACTGATCATAAGTATGTTTCATATGTTTAACTAGCAGAAAACAGTTACAATTTAAAGATTGCATTATAACACTATGAATAGCAAATTTCATTTACAATTCAAGATAAATGTGATAAAAGTCAAATTTTTTAAAAAATCAAATTAAAAGCTGAAAACTACTTTTAAGAGAGCCTGCAAATTTTCCTCTCAAAGTTAGTATGCCCTTCAAAAACTGGAAGCCAGATGATCTTATGCATAAAAACAAACTTTAATGCTAAATCCATATGAAATTCAAAAGTTAATTCTGCTTCACCTGCAGCAAAAACTGTTTTTGATGTACTTATTTTTCCTCCATTACTTTTTAGAACTCTATTTCTCTTTTTTTTTTGGGGGGGGGAATACAGGGGATTGAACTCAAGGGCACTCCACCACTGAGCCACATCCCCAGCCCTATTTTGTATTTTATTTGGAAACAGGGTCTCACTGAGTTTCTTAGGGCCCAACAAAGCCTCACAAAGTTGCTGAGGCTGGCTTTGAACTCCGGATCCTCCTGTCTCAGCCTTCTGAGCAGCCCCAGCCCTGCTTAGAGCTCTGTTTCTCAAGGAAGAACTTGTTAGGAATGTAAATTCTCAGGCTCTGCCCCAGACTCACTGAATCAGAAACTCTGGGGGAAGACCTAGCCAGCCATGTTTTAACAAGCCCCCCATGTGCTCACTCAAGTCTAAGAACCACTGGTTAAGACAAGTAAGCTTGGACTGGGGATATAGTTCAGTTAGTTGGTAGTGCACTTGCCTTGCATGCCCAATCCCCAACAACACACACACACACACACACACACACACACACACACACACACACAGAGACAGAGAGAGAGAGAGAGACAGAGAGACAGAGAGACAGAGAGACAGAGAGACAGAGAGAGAGAGCAAGCAAATAGCTTAAGTCTTGGACAAGGAGGCTGGTATCAGCATTTTCTTACCAGGGCATGCTGGCTCATAAATGTCGTGCTGTTTCTTTTCACTCTTAACGTGTCAGCTTGGAATACCTGTGAATTATCACTAAGGAGAAAAAGAAAACACTTGTTATATAAAGTTTATTACAATTTTTTAAAAACAGTGCTGGAAATGGAATTTAGGCCTTATGCATGCTAGGCAAGCACTCGACCACTGAGCTGCATCCTCAAGTCTGCAAATTTTTTCAAGAAATAATATTTCTAATACTTAAATAGCAACACTGTTAATTGTAAATGGCATCCTGGTAGAGACAACTGTGCAGATGTAGAAATTAACACACACACACACACACACACACACACACACATAAAAGTACACATCTTAGTCCATTAAGCTTAAACAAGTTACCATATAAGAAAAGGAATTCTTGGGGCTGGAGATGTGGATCAAGCGGTAGCGCACTCGCCTGGCATTCGTGCGGCCCAGGTTGGATCCTCAGCACCACATACCAACAAAGATGTTGTGTCCGCAGAATACTAAAATATAAATATTTAAAATTTTTTTTTTAAAAAAGGAATTCTCATGCATGCCACTTTACCTCTAAAGCTAGAGAAAAAGTATAATTTATTATGACCTTGGAAATACATCATTTTCAGTGTAAACCTGTAATTCATTTAAATTTATGATTGGAGGGCTGGGGATGTGGCTCAAGCGGTAGCGCGCTCGCCTGTCATGCGTGTGGCCCGGGTTCGATCCTCAGCACCACATACAAACAAAGATGTTATGTCCGCTGAAAACTAAAAAATAAATATTAAGAAAATTCTCCCTCTCTCTTTAAAAATAAATAAATAAATAAACAAACAAATAAATAAATAAATAAATTTATGATTGGAGCTGGGCACAGTGGTGTACCCCTGTAATCCCAGCAGCTCAGGAGGCTGAGACAGAAGGATTGCAGGTTTGAAGCCAGCCTCAGCAACTTAGCAACACTTTAAGAAACCTAATGTGACCCAGTCTCAGAATAAAATATAAAAGGGCTGGTGATGTGGCTCAGTGGTTAAGTGCACTTGAGTTCAATCTCCAGTACCAAAATAAAATTTATGATTGGAGCTACCCAAATTTTACATGAACAAGAGGGATAACTGATAGCAAGTGTAGATAGAACTGAAATCTTCCACAGATATGTTTTGTTTGGCCTACATGGTGTTAAAACATTTCTGAATTCATTGTGCAAACTGAGAAACTTCATATTAAAAAAAAAATCCAGATTCCAGATTTTTGGCTTCTATTGAAAATTTGCAAGAATTTGCAACACTGGGCTCCATTCCCACATGGCAACAACACACTGAAAGTGAGCAGCTGCTGCCCACTGAAAATGGAGTAGGTGTCCTCACCTTGGACTATTGCCCACCCAGGTGGCCTCAATTCTATTTGAGCTTATAACCTTGAAGAAGTCATCTTTTCCTTTACATGTTTTCTTTTTACTATAACTTTTTCTTTTGTACTGGGGATTGAACCCAGGGGCACTCTACCACTGAGCCACATCCCCAGCCCGGCCCTATTTTGTATTTTATTTAGAGACAGGGTGTCACTGAGTTGTTTAGTGCCTCACCATGGCTGAGGTTAGCTCCCGATCCTCCTGAATCAGCCTCCCCAGCAGCTGGGATTACAGGCGTGAGCCACTGTGCCCGGTTTATAACTTTTTACTTTGAAATAGTTTTAAGACTCATAAGAAGTTGCAAAAAGTATGCCAATGGTTCCCATGTACCTATCATCCAGGTTTCTCCAATGATAATAAGAAATCATTTTTAATACTTTTCTTTGGCTGCTTTTGTTACCGAAAGCTGGGTCCTTGTCCCCGATGCCAACTCATGCCAATTTAATAACAAGGACACAGTTTTGAGAAAAAGGAAAAAGAAGCCTTATTGCTTTGCTAGCAAAGGAGCACTGGAGACTCTTATCTGGACACTGTGGTTCCACCCATCAGCGAGAACAAAGAACTATTAAAAGAAGCTCAGCAGCGGAGCACTTGCTCAGAACAGGTGAAGTCCTGGGTTCAATCCTCAGCACCACATAAAAATAAATAAATAAAATAAAGGTATTGTGTCCAACTACAACTAAAAAATAAATATTAAAAAAAAAGCTCTTAAGAGCTGCATTCCAGGTGTGCCCCAAGGGGAGTCCCAGGTGTACCCTGAGGGCACGGTGAAGTGAAATTCACTTATTCAGTTGTTAATATGGACGATAAAGCACTTCTCAGGTTGACTTCTTCTATTGGTGAGCTCAAAACAGATAACTAGGCCTAGGAGGGGAAATGGTAATCTTGTTACCTACCCCCAGATCAGGGATGGGGAAGGAGAGGAAAAGAAAAACAAGTCCCTTTTAAAATAAGCAGCTTGGGGCTTGGGATGTAGCTCAGTGGTTGAGCACTTGCCTCACAGGTGTGAGCCACTGGGTTGATCCTGAGCACCAGATAAAAATAAATAAATAAAATAAACATGTTGTGTTGAGAGCCACAGCCAAAGCGGCCCCAGCAAACTTCCAGCTGATTGGCTCACCGCGCCCCAGCAAACTTCCAGCTGATTGGCTCCTCTGCGGTGATGCTCATTGGGCTGTTTCCCTGCCCTTTCAGACCACGGAGCTGCTCATTGGGGGACTCTTTTGGCTCTGTCCACGCAACCCAGCCAATCAGCCTCAAGAGCTGTAGAGAGGCTAGCAAAAAAAGCCGGTGGTGGCAGTTGGGCTCTGAGGGAATTCCTGAAGAGCTCATGTGTTGCCGAGTGTGTTCTAAAAATAAAGTTCGTTTCTGCTTGACAACTGGCTCGTGAATTGTGCCCAGCCAGACTGTGGCAATATTGTGTCCATCTATAGCTAAAATATTTAAAAAAAATAAAAAATAAGCAGCAGCGAAGGATATATTCAAAAGGTAAAGTGGACTACTGTTACATTCATATCCAGTCTTTTGGGGTTTACCTCCATACTCTCTCTTACTTGTATTTTATTCTTTTCAGGCTCCTTGCTAAGAACCAATTCAAAACCTTTCCAGTCTGGTGTGGTGGTACATGAAAGAACAGCTTGCTGTCTTACAATTTCAGTGATTTTATAGTCTGCTTAACTAAGTTTTGTTTTGGGGGGGTTGGCAGTACTGGGGAATTGAACTAATGGCACTTTACCACTGAGTTATATCCCCAGCCCTTTTTATTTTCTTTTTTTGAGACAGGGCCTAGCTAAGTTGCTGTGACTGGCCTTGAACTTGTGATCCTTCTGCCTCAACCTCCCCAGTCAATGGGATTACAAGCCACTGCGCCAATCCTGAACTTAGTTATTTACCATGATATTCAAAGCCCTCCATGATTTGGCACCAGATTTGTGGATTTCAGGAAGTAGTAAAATTTCAATACAAAATCTAGGCACAGGCCTGTAATCCCAGCAGTTGGGGAGGCTGAGACAGGAGGATAGTGAGTTCAAAGCCAGCCTTAGCAACGGCGAGGTGCTAAGTAACTCAGTGAGACCCTGTCTCTAATAAAATACAAAAATAGGACTGATGATGTGGCTCAGTGGTGGAGTGCCCCTGAGTTCAATCCCTGGTACTTCCCCTCAAAAAAATCTAGGCACAAATATCCAGTAACTACCTTTCTCTTTTGCCAAATATGGCACAGTGCAATGACAGCAGTTCACAATAACCTATTATACATTTTTTGAATAACTAAAAGAGAAGAGAGGGGCTGGGTTTGTGGTGCTGGATTCGATCCTCAGTACCATATAAAAATAAATAAATAAAATAAAAGTATTGTGTCCAATTACAACTAAAATATAAATATTTAGGGCTGGGGTTGTAGCTCAGTGGTTGAGTGCTTGCCTTGCATGTATGAGGCACTGGGTTCGATCTTCAGAACCACACCAAAAAATAAAAAAAATTAAAAAAATAGATAAATACTTTTTTAAAAAAAGGAGAAGAGAGAAAAGATCTGGAAGGTTGCAAACTTCATATGATAAGAACATGAAAATATTAATGAGCCTGATTTGATCAGTATATAGTATATACATGTATTGAAATATCATGCTGGGCATCATAAATATGTATACTATGTGTTAATCTAAAATTTTAAAAAATGGGGACTGGGGATGTGGCTCAGTGGTAGATGCTTGCCTAGCATTAGTGAAGACCTGAGTTGGATCCCCAACAACTCACACACACACACACACACACCAAAAAAGTAAAAACAATATATAAAATATTTGAAATTGAAATGTTAATCACCCTGATTTTATTATTATGCATTGTATGCATATATTGAATTATCACACTGTTCCCCATAAATATGTACAATTAAATAATAGTAATTAATTTTTAAAAATCTCATCATGGACCAACACTAATGTTTCACTTATAAAAGCTCATTTTGGGGGGCTGGGGATGTGGCTCAAGCGGTAGCGCGCTCGCCTGGCATGCGTGCGGCCCAGGTTCGATCCTCAGCACCACATACCAACAAAGATGTTGTGTCCGCCGAGAACTAAAAAATAAAACATTAAAAAAAAATTCTCTCTCTCTCCTCTCTCTCACTTTAAAAAAAAAAAGCTCATTTTGTTATTTATAAAACTGTAGGGAATTAATGATCTCAGAATGCAGTGTAGGGCTTTAATAGGGAAGAAAAATACTCAAAGGACCCAAATGTATGGTAGAGTAAAATAAGTGCTTAGAGAGGCAAAGAACAGGACAATTAGCAGCTACATAACATATTTAATTACATGGCACTTAACTCTTTTTAAAAAATGGATTGGTAAAAAAACAAACAAAAAACCAGTCCCTTCACTGGGGATCAACACTGGTCAGCAGAAGAGCATTTGGAATCCAGGCCTATAGGACAAAGTTCACCACTGAGCTGTCTGGATATCCCAGACCTATGCTTTTCTACCTCCAAAGCCTGTTCTGTATACTTGAAATGCTGTCCCAGCCATCTGAAGACCTCTTTTCCAGAGTGTACTCTATGGATCCATTAAGGCCCATTTCAAATGTACCTTCTTCCTGAACTTTTTCCTTATCCT